ACCAGAGCGGCGTGCGCGCGAGGGGCCCGACGACGGCGTCGGGCGCGGCCGTCGCGTCGTCCTCGTCGAGGTAGCCGCACGCGGCGACGACGGCCGAGAAGCGGCCCGGCGCCATCCGCGACGCGTACACGTACGCGCCGTGGCCGCCCATGCTCTGCCCGGCGACGGCCACGCGGTCCGGGTCGCCGCCGAGCGTCGCCAGGGCCATGTCCACCAGCGCCATCGACGACTCGAAGTGGTGCCGCCAGTCGCGGCGTCGCGCGACGGGCACGACGACGATGTGGGCCACGCCCGCCGCGTAGGCGGGGTCGAGGAGCGGGAACCTAGCGAGCGCGACGGCGACGATGTCCACCCCACATCTCTCGAAAATCGTCGCGGCCGCGGGACGCTGGCGGGAACTGCGTCCGCAGGCCCGGGTCCCGGCAGCCCTTGCCGTTGTTGATGCCGCCGACGCCGTGGAGGAAGAGGAGCACGGGGTGGGCGGCGTCCTCGCCGGTCCAGCTTGGGGGCAGGAAGATGAGGTACTCGGACCCGTCCGCGGCGGTCAAGGGCTGGGACACGCTGCCGACGACCATGCCCTCCGGCGGCGCGGCGGCGCGCGCGGCGGCGACGACCATGGCGAGAAGGACGCGGAGGACCATCCTTTTAGGAAGCTGCCCGAGGAAGCCACCAGTCTGGAGGCCCGTTGGCGCTTACGTTGAAGGACGCGACTCGGAGACGTGGCGCTGCCCACGGCGCCGCCGCTAGCGCTGCCACGACATGGAGCCCGCCTTAGATGGCCGCGCGCGCGCACGACATGGAGGAGCCCGTCTTAGCAACGAAGGCGCGCCGAGTGTTCGGATCAGAGGAGCTTCTTCGAGCGGAAGAAGGAGCGGAGGTAGATGATCTGCCAGCACGCCGTCGCGAAGAGCACGCCCATGGAGATGACGCCGAAGAGCTCGACGCGGTCGCGGCCGCTCTCGGACGCGTCGCGCAGGTCGGACTCGCGCTCGATGGCCGCGTCCATCTCCGCGGCGATGTCCTTGAGCATGTGCTCGCTGTCGTCGAGCTGCTTCTCGACGGGCCCGAAGACGCTGTCGCTGACGCCGTCGTAGTCGCGCACGCCCCAGCCCTGGTCCACGGCGATGGACACGCGCTGGGGCTTGCTGTGGTGGTTCTCGACGCAGGCCTTGTGCAGGCCGGGCACCTTGGTCGTGAACGAGAACGTCTTCTCCGTGAAGTCGAGGCTCTCGCTCCACATCAGCTTCTTCCGCGGGTTCTTCACCGTGACGCGCACCTTGCTCGACTTCGTGGGGTCCGCCTTGTGCTTCTCCGACCCCATGACGACGAAGGACCACTTGCCCAGCGAGTCGTCGGGGAACTCCTCGCCGACGCAGCGCTTCGACGTCGCCGGCACGTCGACCATGACGAAGTCGCTCTCGGCGTTGAGCAAGTGCGCGAGCGAGGCCAGGGCCGCGAGGGCCAGCCTTCGGCGCGCGACCATGACCGCGGAGGCGACCGGCGGCGCGCGCAGCTCGAGCGGGCGGGCGGCAGCGTCCACTGCACCATTGCCCTGGCGCAAGTAAGCAGGCGATGCTGCAGCAGCCCACAAGCATGGGCGCGTAGGCTTCCTCAGCTGCAGTGGCGCGCACGAGCATGGTCTGTCCGTCGCACCTCTTCGGGCGCGACGTCGACGACGTCTTCTCCTATTCGACGATCAAGTACGTGCAGATCCGCGACCGGCGGCTCGGCCTCACGAAGCTGCTGCTCACGCTCGCCGTGAGCGGCTACGTCGGCCTCTACAGCCTGTGGTACGAGGGGCTCTACCTCGAGAAGTCGCCGCTCACGGGCGCGTGCCGGTTCACGCTGCAGCAGCCCACACGGGGCAACTGCGACCCCACGGATCCGGGCTGCCTCAACGACTACGGCTCGCCCGCGGACGCGGCGTACTGCGCGCAGTCGGCGCTGCCCTACGCCGGCAACAAGCGCACGTGCGAGTTCTACGAGCAGATCGGCGCGCAGCAGACCATGGACAGCAGCCTGCTCGTGTCGACGCGGATCACGACGCTGGAACAGCGCCTCGTCTGCAACGCGACGCACGGGCCCGCGACGTGCCCCCAGGTCTACGACGTCGCGTCGGAGCGGACGAACTACGTCATGGCCGCGGAGCGCTTCACGGTGCTCATCGACCACAGCGTGCTCGCGACGTCGATCAGGCACCTCCAGGGCACGAGCTCGGCGCTGTCGGGGCGGCTCTACGTGAAGAAGAGCCACGCGCTCTGCGCGGAGTACGGCGGGTCCGGACGATGCGCGATC